CTTTAATTTATAAATAAATAAATAAAGGACAGCTGTGAGATCCAATGGCCTAATGCACGTGTAGATGCTTGCTCTGTCCATTGGGTTGATCCCTTTCCTTTGGGGGTCATAACAGAAGAGACTCCGGTCTTACTGATCTTTACCGCAGATGGGGACTCCTGAGTCCATATTGTCCTTGTCATCTTATTACCCACAGCGTGACTTGCAGTCCCACTGACGAGGGCTTTCTTTCCCTCTCCCTGACCTCATGCCGCCTCACCTACCTTCCTCCGAAGCCGCCCACACGCCTGGACCTTGAGTATGGTGGCAAAGACCTTTCCTTAAAGCAGTGGTTCTCCAGTTTGAGCCTGCTTCAGAATCCCCTGCAGGGCTTAGGAAACGCCGGCTCCCTGGGTCGGCTGGAAGATTTGCATTTCTAACAGGTTCTCAGGTGAAGCGAATGCCGCTGGTCCTTACCTGCACTCTGGGAACCACTGGCCTAAGTCAATTGTGGTAATTCTTTCTCCTTTCGCCCTCAATTGATTCAGAGCTGGCCGAACCAAAACGGTGTAAACAGCTTTTCCCTCTGCTTCTTCCCCCGCTAGGCCAACATGCCTCAGTGAGTGGTGGCAGCCACTTTGTGACCATGAGGGGAATCGCCAATCAGGGAGTCTCGTGCTATGGACGGCTGAGAAGGAACATGGCAAGAACCTGAGGTCCTAATGTTGCCATGGAGTTGTCCTTAGCTGCCCTGGGGAAGGCTGTGGATGGATAAGTTTTCTGGGGAGAAGATGGAGAATTGATTTGATTTGAGGTTTGTTTGTTTGTTTAATTTATTTATAATCCCACGCTCCACACGGAGCCAGACTCGGGCTTGATCTCACGATCAAGAGATCATGACCCGAGATCATGACCTGAGCTGAAATCAAGAGCCAGACGCTTAACTTGACTGAGCCACCCAGGCGCCCTGGAGAATTTTAATCCAGGCTAAAAATCATCCTTTATAGCTTTAACTTTGCTTCCCTTGTTTCCAGAACTACACTTTTGATCAAACTTGGCCTTTTCATTTTTTTTTTCCATTTCCCCGTTCGTTCCTGAAATATAAAAAGGGCAAAAGTGAGGGTGGCCTGGGGACCCCCAAACTTGCAGCCGGTGTGAGATGAGGGTGGTCTTGTGGAAGATTGTGTCCCTCTCCTTGAGTTTTGCCAACTCATTGCAGAAGGGTCTGGCCATCTACCTAAAATAACACCTCCCTTTCCTTGCTGTTTGGGGCAGGTATGAATTTCCACCACAGATGCTAGGGAACAACACTTTATTTTTCTGAAATTTTCCGATTATTCCTGACCCAAGACTTGTCTGTGTTCAGAGGACGGCGTTTCGTGCTGGGTCATAACTCGGCTTCCTCTTTTCAGTCTGGTACAAAGGTTGCGGGATTTTTGGTTGAGGGGGGCCTTCTGGCCTTTGGTCTACACTGGTTACACTAATATGCCCTCTGTTCAAGCCTGTGGAACCCCCCCCCCCCCCCCCCCCGCCCCAAGGCTGGCAAGACCCTGTGCCAAGCTTTGGTGCGGGTGTCTTGGTTCAGACCGGCCGCTCCCTACCCAGGATCAAGCCTCCTGGGGTTTTGCCTCCATCGCCGATCCTCAGGCCCCCCAAATCTTGGGATAGCTTCCACTCCCCAGAGGATGGGCTCTGTGTCAGCCATCGTCTCTCCCAGCTCCTTCTCCCGCCAACCTGCCTGGAGGGTCCCGCGTAATCTCCTTTCAACGGGCCTTTAGAACCGGCGCCGGCCTCTCTTCTCTGTGGGGGGCGTGACCCTGGAGTTGCGCAAAATGGCAGCCCTGTGATGTTCCCTTCCTCCCCGCCCGCCTACTTCTGTCCCCTACCTTTGCACAGCTCCCGCCCTCCCCCTCCTCCTGCCACTCTGGCCATCACCCATTTCTGTAAAGGTGTCAGAGTCCCCACCGAAGCCCCTTTTTGTAAATTGCTAAGTGCGCAGTTCTGGGAGTCTGCTGACTATCAAAAGCCTTTCTTCTCGGAGTTTCTGCTGACTCGCAGAGGGGAACAGAGGGACTTTGGTCTCACCATCTGTTGACTCCTCTGGGGGCAGGAGCGCAGGGAGGATGGGGTCGGCTGGAGCGACGGGGGTTTCCATGCCAGAGAGGGGCGGCCAGTCTTCTCTCAGTGTATTTACAATCAAACCTATCTCAAACCACAGAGATTAATTTCCTTCTGAAAACATTCCCCCCCAGTCTTCTGCTTGGAAATTAATATTTCCCCAAGTCACAGCATTTTGATTCCATCTCAGGAGAACCAGTAACCCTGACCTTATTATGCTAAGGGAACATTCCCCCTCCCTGCTTGGGGTCACATTACAAAGACTTCTCACATCAGCTGCTCACAGTTAAGGGGCCATGCCCAAATGGCTCCTCTGTGCGTGTGTGTGTGTGTGTGTGTGTGTGTGTGTGTGTGTGTGTTTCCCTGGCTACGGAAGGGGCAGAGGTCAATCTGGTTTGACCAGGCCACGCTGGTGCACTGTGTCTGGCACATAGTAAGCGCGGAATAAATGCAGGTGTTATTGTTATCGTTTGTAGCTAGTTACGCATCCAATATGCTTTGTTTCTATTTTTCCTTAGTAACAGGATCCTGATCTTGTCTAAAGGCCTAGCCCTGCTTCTCTTACATCTAGGTGTGGCCACGTGACTGCATTTTGTTCAGTGAACTGTAGGTAGATGTACTGTGTGAGACTCTAGGAGTCTCGGCCTTTAATTCGGTTCTGACGCTAACTACCCAGGGTTGGTGCAGAGCCCGTAGACTAAGGGCTCAGTCCCGCGATACTGCCCCCACCTCAGACGCCAGTCACAGGTACTGGGTTCCCAGGGTACCCACGCTTCTGTCCGGCTTGGCCTCAAATCAGAAGCTCCCAGGACCCTGTCCTTAGGCTCAGTATTCTGTTGTAACAGCTCATAGGATTCAGGGAAACATTTTACTCACTATCACTGGTTTATTGGAAAGGATATTATAAACGATGCAGGTAAGCAGCAGGAGGAAGAGGGACATAGGGCGGGATTTGAAATGGTCCCGAGTACAGAAGCTTCTGTCCCCATGGAGTTGGGGGGCACCACCCTTGTGGTGCATGGATATGTTCACCAACCTGCCAAGCTCTCCCAACGCTCTCTCGTTTAGGGTTTTAATGGAGGTTTCGTTATGTAGGTATGGGTGGTTGAATCATTGGCCTTTGAGGATTAGCTCAGTGGGCAGCCCCTCGTCCCTCCTCAGAGTTCAGGGGTGGGGGGTGAGGAAGGTGGGGCTGAAATTTCCAATCCTCTAATCCTGAGTCGGTCTTTCTGGTGGTGAGCCCCCATAGTGCCCCTCCCCCCCCCCACTCCCCCCCAGCCATCAGTCATCTCCTTAACATACAAAAAGACAGTTTTATCACTCTGGAGATTCCAAAGATCTTGGAAGGTCTGAAATCTGGAACCCGGGACTAAGGTCAAAGATTGTAACAGAAGATATTCCTATCACCCCATCACTCCATTTTACAAGGATTTAGGGGCTCTGCCAGAATCCAGCGACAAGGACCAAATATATTTTTCTTACATCATCAAAATCACAGTCACCTCGGGGCGCCTGGGTGGCTCGGTCGGTGGAGCGTCCGACTTCAGCTCAGGTC